CTACTGAACTTAATTCATTGTTTGCACACAATATATTTTATTCAACTGTGAAATATTAAAATCAGATTTTAAGTTGTTCTCCAGAGAATTCTACAGTTTTTGTTGTTTGGTCCATTTTCATCAAATTGAAAGTTATAATAAAATGCTGTTTAGTAGAATTAGATTGATAATTGGTCTCTGATATACTGTATATGGTGATATTATCTCCTTGTAGACATGTTGGTATAAATATGTATCAGCAGTGATCGGTAACAAGAAATCACAGAACAGAAATATTAAATTAGGTTTGAGTTAATTTAAAAACAGCATCCTCATAGTGTGGCCACCAGAGACAAAAGTAGAGATGATTGTTAAACTTCCTGCTCAGTTTGTGTTTTTAGTCACAATAAAAGCAAACTGACAAACTTTGGAATCTTTAAAAGCACAATAATATGATCTACATGCATTCAAACAGCAGAACACAGAGTCTGAAGTGGACAATCATTTGAATAATTAACTCTTCTGATTCTTTTTTTTTCTTCTTAACTCTCAATTGTTATTTTTTAAAATTTAGAGTCTTCTATATAATAGTTTTTCATGGCGCACAACAAATCTAGATCAGCTCATAGTGGAGGGAAATGTTGGAATTTAAGTCCATAAAACATCTGTCAGTATTTTATCACCAATCAAAACTGTATAGACATGACCATGAAAGATGTAAAATTGAAAAAATATTGCTTCAAAAACTTTTATTAAACATCTTCAATATTCTTTAATATTTTAGATGGTTTGATTGAAAATATTGAAAACAAAATTTAAAAAAAATACTGGTCATACTGGGAATAAAACCTAAATTATAAAAAAAACAACTGTGTATGAAATTAAGGTACACAAGCGGGTTGGGTTTGAATATTTTTTCATTGTTGGTTGTGTTTAAAAAAAAAAAAAATTATATATTGTCTACAATATATATATATTTATTTTAAATCCAATAATCTCTGACAGTGACAAGTGAACAAAAGAATTAAATTTATTTTGTTCATATTTTTTAATATGAGAAATGACCAAAGTTATTAGAGCAAAGACGCCCACGGAAGTAGTGTGATGTATACTTTAATAAATTGAAAAAGAATCTAATTTTTAAAAAAATGGGGAAAAGGTTTGTTGAATTTGGTAAATATTAAAAGTAGAATTAAAACTCAGAGTCTAACAAATACTGTAATAAGGACCATAAGAGATCAATGATGAAGAATAAACGTCTCCGCTAACTGAAGACTAAACTGGGGTTCGACCTGACTGAGATAACTAACAGAGAAAATGTTTTATAGGCAGCTTTCCATGAAACAAAACTATCAGAAGTGTTCACACTGTGCAGTGTTTTAAGCTGTAATTCTGAAACAACTTTAACTTTCTCTTGCAGTGACCCACTCTCTGAAGTATTTCTACACTGGGTCCTGTCAAGTCCCAAACTTCCCAGAGTTTGTGGCTGTTGGGATGGTTGATGAAGTTCAGATGGTTCACTATGACAGCAACACCAGAACACCAGTACCCAAACAGGACTGGATGGACGAAGCAGCAAAAGATGATCCAAAGTACTGGGAGAGGAACATTGGGAGCTTTATGGGTTCCCAGCAGATCTTCAAAGACAACATTGAAAGAGCAAAGCAGCACTTCAACCAAACTGGAGGTTTGTTTGTCTCATTTTTACTGGTACATGTTGTTAATGTTTTTATTGTGCTTTGTCAAAATGTGTAAATGGATGTGCACACATTGAAAATGTCTCACTTAGATCACAATCTTAAAATGTCTTAACAACACAACTCATAATAAAACACACAGTCAACTGACAATTTAGATTAGATCAACTTCACTTGACCACAGTGTGTCAGCGGCTTAATAGATATAGATATATAGATATAGCGATGAAATAATTAGTTAATTGATCAACTAGTTAATTACTGGAAAATTAATAAACCAATTTTGACATCCAAATAAGTGTTAAAGTCTTCTTAAGCAAACTCTAAGCTGTTTACTTTCTAGAAAATGTTTGCATTTTTTTTTTTTTACTATTTTCTATTTATTTAAATAATCCATATACAGTGTGTATTCACTTAACATTGAGTTTAATCCATAAATACATATAAGAATTACTGTGAAGTTAAATGTGTGTGCAAATAGAAAGCCAAAGAAGGAAAGCAAAGAAACAGTTTTCTTTTTTCTTTTTTTCAAGAGTTTTCTGTTTTTCAAAACATTTACATGTAAAATCACAGCTTGTATTGCTGTCTTTTGGATTATATTTCCTATTTTTGATTTGTGACTTTAAATCTTCTGTTACACATCTCAGTTTTCAGTAAATGGACAGATGTTTGAGGGGCGGGGTTTCTCTCTGCTGCTCTTCTATTGGTCTGATGAACTGTCAGTCACATCCTGCAGGCAGCTCTGAAGTGTCCACAGACCTCTGACCTGTCAGCATTCAGCCTGCAGCAACCACTAACAGTTGAAACTTCACTGATGTCCACAGTCTGTTTTCATCACTGATGTATGAAACCTTACTGCTGACATTAAATAACCGTCTGGAAAACATGTCAGTGTGTCTCCAGAACTCTAAACTACTGACATTTATTG